CACCCACCCCAGCTCCTGGTGCTTTAAAAAAGAGCCCCAACTTACCGAGTGCTGCCAGGCAGGGGGGGCAATCCCTGCTGCCTCCCACTGCCCCACACTGCATGGAGGGCTCTTCCATGAGCCCCCTGACCCCTCCTCCTCCCCCAGGCCCCCCATGGCGGCCCTGTCCACCCCAGCCCCAGACCTTTAAGAAAAATAATTGAGAAAAGTCCTGGGACTTGCTGGCTCCTGCAGAGGCCTTGGGGCCTTGGGAGGGCTTGTGCAGAACCCCCCATGTGGCAGCAGGGGCAGCAGGGGTCGCCCCCCCCCCCGCTGGGAAGGAACTGGAGAGTCCGGGGGTCTTTCTTGTTTTTTTTTCCCTTAAAGGACCAGAGCTGGGGCAAGCGGGGCAGCCACGGTGGGGCTGGGACAGCAGGAGGTGGAGTCAGGGGGTTCATGCAGAGCCCCTCATGCAACATGGGGCAGTGGGGACAGTGGGGATCGCCCCCTGCCCGGCAGCACCCGGTGAGTCAGGGCTTTTTTCTTCCCAAGTGCCGGGAGCTAGGGCAGGCAAGGCAGCCATTGCCGGGCTGGGAGAGTGGGTGGGAGGGTGGGCCTGCCTGATTCAGAGATCCGGTAGCAGCCAAATCTCCACATCAGATTTGGTCAAATTGATTTGGGACAGTGATTCGAATCACTGAATCAAACCACTGGCCCCCAAATCGGCCGAATCCGAATCCAAATCCAAAGAGAATACCAGCTCCTTTGCACAGGCCTAAAGGACAGGAGAGTGCTCACACTGTTGTGCTCATTGGAAAGGATGGGGCATATTCCGCCCTGATCTACGTTATATGTCCAGGTATGCAAGATGAAATAAGAGCCTCACCTACCTTCTGCTGAATGCCTAGCTTATCATCTAGAACAAATGAAGTTGAAAGGTTTTCATATAAATATTTAATAGCTCAAAACCTAGTGATTGTATCTACAAGACTATTAATGGATTCCTGGCTTTTCAAAATACTTACACATTCATATTCATTGCATTAATCTAATTTCTATTATTCTTTTGAATGCTTTCAATGGGAAACCTTTCGTGTCCTGCAATAAAACTTTTTTAAAGCATCTAGGTGACTTAGGAGCAAAAGACTTGTTGACTTTCAATAACTTTTAGACACTTTGGACTGTCTGGCTGATAGTGAAGGATTTCTTTGTATCAGATTGAAGAGTAGTATCACCTGTAGTATCATTCTTCATAGTTTAAGGGTGCTTTTTGAAATCAACCAATATCTTAATGTCTGTATAATTTGGTATTGAATGGTAGATTGTTTGCCTACTCAGTCACTGAATTATCCTTGTCTACCACATTACTAAGATTGAGAGTTACTGTATTAAAAAGCTTCTCTATCATAAAAATGGCATGAAGAGACCACCTCAATTTCCTTTTGCTCTAGTTTTGTTTTTCTGCTTTCCAGGTAAAACCCAGGTGATGGGTGAAATTAAGATTGCATTGAAGAAGGAGATGAAGACTGATGGAGAACAGCTGATAGTAGAAATCCTTCAATGTAGAAACATAACCTACAAATTTAAATCTCCAGATCATCTTCCAGGTACCACTCAGAAACCATCCGCAGCATACAGCAGAAAACACGTATATATCAACCTAGTAATATATTAGATTGTAATATATACATGTAGTAATAGCAATAGTGTGTACACACACACACACACACACACACACACACACACGTGTAATGTTTATAGTCTGTATGGGATATTGATTGATGTATTAGATTTATATGCTGCCCTTGCCAACAAAGACTCAAGGTGGCATTACAAGACTGCATTACAGTAGTCTAGTCTTAATGTTATGAAAGCATGGATGATGGTGGCCAGATCTGAATCTAAAACAAAGGGTCACAGACGTCTTCCTAGATGGAGATGGTGAATGGCACCCCTAGCCACTGCTGTCAGCTGAAGATCCAGGTGCAGCAGATGATCCAGGAGCAGCTCAAGTCTGAAAACCTGAGTGGCAATGGGAAGCTGAACCCTGTCAATGATAGGCATCCCAATCCTGTCTAGGACTGCCCAGCCCCATCACCACTGTCTTTTCTGGATCAGGTGGTTCACCCACATCCAGCCCAACTTGCAACAAAGGACCAAGGTTCTGGGGCCTGAGTTAGATGAGAACAATAGAGCTGAATGTCATCAGCATACAGGTGGCATCTCACTCCAAATCTCTGCATGATCTGAGCCAGAAGCCTCAAGTACATGTTGAAGAGGAGGGGTATCAGGATAGAGCCCTGGGGGACCCCACAGGTAAGGAGATGATGATCTCTCACCGATCACCACACTGAAACCTTCCTGCCAAAAAGGAGTGGAACCAGTTAAGAGGAATCTTGCAAATACCCACCAAGTCATGTAAAAGTTTTATGAGCACCTCATGGTCAACTGTATCAAAGGTTTTCACCATTCCACCTGTGAAAGATCTAGCAAAATCTTCAGGGTAAAGGTTCCCCTGTGAGTCTCCAGGGAAAGGTCATTGACCAAGTTCACCAGCACGGTCTCCATGCTCGATCCAGGCCAAAAGTCAGATTGACAAGGGTCCAGCAATCTGATGATATTCAGATACACCTGAACCTGTCAGGTGACCACCTATACAATGACTTTCCTCAGAAAAAGGAAGTTAGCAATGGGATGATAGCAGACTAGGGAATCCTGCGTAAATGAAAGCACAATATAGCTCCATGATATACAGCAGTCTGTTTTTTTCCTCAAAATTTGAAATCATTAGGGACAATACCAACTGATAAGCAACTGTATGACAAGTTGAATTGTTTTCCCCCCAGATCTTTATGTGAAGCTGTATGTTGTCAATATCTCTACTCAAAAGAGAGTAATTAAGAAGAAAACACGGGTGTGCAGGCATGACCGAGAACCTTCATTCAATGAGACTTTTAGATTTAGCTTGAGTCCTGCTGGGCATTCTCTTCAGGTAATTCTGGATCTTATTAAAATCTTTTTTTTTTATGTTTTCCATGCTGTGCTATGGCCATTAGAGATCCATCATCCATCCCCAGTCATTTGACTAAGAGGTTGTTGGAAAAAGAACATTGCAAAGAAAAAGCACAGTTCAGGAATCATGGAAAAGTAGGACTGGCAGGAACCTCCGGAGATCATGCAGCCCATACCCCTAAATTGAGGTCGGAAAAGTGTGTGTTGCACCCCAACAGGAGTTTATGTAACCTGATCTTGAAACCTCCAATGAAGGAGATTCTATAACCTGCCCAGATACCTGCCTTCGTAGTTAGAAGGGTTTCCCTGCCCCTCCCTACCCCAACATCTAATTGCTGCAAATTACACCATTTTCTTCTCATCTTACTCCCTGTGTTCATGGAGAATGATGAATTCCCATTCCCATTATAACAACATTTCACACATTGCAAGACAAGTTACGTTTTTCCGTAGTCTTCCCTTCTCTAAACTAAACAAATAAATTATTCCAACTTTCCTCTAGGCCGTGTTTTCTGGGCATCTTAGCATTTTTGTAACTCTCCCCCAAACTGTCTCCAATTTGCTACATCATTCTTAAAGTGTGATGCCCCAACCTAGACAATATTCCATAGGAGGCTTTGCCAGCACTCAGTAGAGAATATTTACCTCCTATGCCTTATATATGACATTCAATATTACATCTCACAAGGAAATGTGTGTTTTTGGCAGCAGTATCAAACTGTTGACTAATGTTTAGTTATGTTCCACCATCACTTTCTTATCTCCCCTCTGCTGCTTTTGTTGACTTGCACATACCTAATGACACGTCTTTAGAGGAAACAGAGTTTTGTAGATTAGCCCAGCATTGAGAGGAAGTGCATTTGGATTTTGTTCCAATATCTGTTTCTGAATCATTGTACAGTCACAGATTCTGCGAGTTACATATTCTCTGTGTAAAAGGGAAGAATATTTACTGAACTCTTGGAGATCTTCCGATAAATGGGACTATGTAATAGCTAGGTATTAATATTGTTTATTGGATATAATTTACTTAGTCTCAGCTCTTGGACATATATGCCACCTTTACATCAGTGTAATTATCATTTAAAGCAGTCTAAACAAGGATCAGGCATACAACACTCATCCCCTACAAGGGTGTAATGTATTTGAATGCCATGTAGAATTTTCCTAGGAAAAATCAGGGATTAAACTATGTCCAGAGCTGTCACAAGTTAGCCATTTGCTACCCTAGATAACCTACTATCTGTTCCCAGGCCCTCACAAAGGTTAGTGTAAACTGTAAATCACTAGGACCAGAAGCAGACTTTTCACTTAAGACTCTGAACCACACCGAAAGCTGTGTGGAGCTGCTCCATGAGGCACAGTCTCTTCCCCGTGTTCATTTACTTACTGCTTTTCCAAATGTCAACCATTTGGGCAGCAATTTTCCATTCTGGGCGTCTGTGTCAGGCGATTTTTTAAATTAGAACCAAAACAACATAGTTGTTTCAGAGAACAAAGCAATACATGATTTTTCTCACATTATAAAATCCTAATGACCTATTCTTTGTAAGGCACTAGATCCCCCATTCCTCACATTAGGGGTTTGAAAGGAGATGCTCTGCACCTTCATTAGAAGTCCACTCAAGTTAAGTTAGAAGCCCCTGGAAATTACAACTTATACTTTCTCAGCAGAGTTTTCTTAGTTTAACTGCTGAAGTCCCTGCAGACTGCCTTCACTGGGCATGCTTCTGCCTGGAGTTAACTTCCTCTGCAGTTAAGTTTTGAATTATTATGGTCTGTGCCAGGGTCATCAGGGAACCTGTCTCTTCTGTACTCTAAATTCCCTCCCACACACACAACTTTCTGCTTGAAGGAGGAAGCTGCCTGATTTAAATAACAAGAGGACCAGAGATAGCCTTGGGGGAGAAAATTGGGACCAAGAAGGTAGAGGAGCGGAGAGTGGAACCAGAGGCTAATCTGGGTTAGGAAGACAGTGAAATAGTGGCTGAAGTGGGAAAGACTGCAGGTAAGGGATAGGGAAGAAAAGAAATCACTGAACTGTGTTGTGTAGGGAACTGGTATTGTTGCTCTTTAGTGAATGCTCTGGACAGTTTAGTAAAATTCACTAGAATTTCAAGTGCCCTTTCCTTCTCTTTCACTATTA